CCAAAATAAAGAGTTTATTTAAAGCAACAGTTTACTTTCTGATAGAAATTTATTTCACTTTGAGTATTAGTTGGATTTATAGATATAGCAAATATTACACATTTTCATGAAAATATATTTTCAAAGTTGCATGAGCCTATGTGTTACCGTCACCTGAAATACTGCAATGTGGTGAAAAATGGATTCAACCGTACAACAATGGAGCTAACGACACTGATTTAGAAGAGTGGAGAAAAAAAAACAGCTTGGAAAATAAGACGTGTAATTAAATACAAGTGAGTCAGTGTGGGCATGGAAGCATTAATCGTTATTTAATCAGCTCAAGACTGAAGTGGAAGCTGTTAGTACAACTCTGAAAATTCCCCACCGCACAACAGTTTACTTCTGTTTCAGCTGTGCGCGGCGCTAATGCTGTTAGCAAAATAGAAAATGTGACATTCCTTTAAAAGACAAAAAGAATCTACAAGTTGTGCAGTGTCTGCTACACTTGTAATCTGATTTCCCCGCACAGCAAAGTTTCTATCAGCTAAATCAGTAATTGCAAAACCTGCACACACATGTGACAGTACAAAGTGAGTACCCAGCCACGAACAAGCTTTGTGACGTTTGGAGTTGCTGCGTTGCACCGTGAACAGGAAGCCAACGTGTGGGAAAACGCTCTGATGGAAAATCACTGCTCGTTGTTTCTGCTCTACAAACTCCAAGTCAACAGCTGCGGCGCTTTTCCCCTCATACCTGTTACTGTTAAGGGATAAAACTTGCATTGTTTTACATTTTCAGCAAATCCCACATAAAGACCATCGTTTCAGATTACACAAAAACTCAAGCAGCTGTGCACTGAGGTCTACACCTCAGGCAGCAGCCAGTCTGTTCACATTGTGTGTTGATATTTTTAATAACTCGAGCTGTAGATTAATTTAGTTTCTGCTAAAAAAACATTAATTATCACCAAACTAATCCTTTCATTGCTCCCATTATTGGTGTGTGAGTCCCCTGATGTATTAGATAAGCAGTGCACCATAAAATCTGATGCTAGGGACACTTTTCTTCCTTGTATTAACAGTGTGCCATTTAAAAAAACAAAAAACAAAAAAAAAACCGTAATGATCCCAACAGTGAGTCCATGCTGCGGATGGTAACCTGCAGTAGAGTGTTTGAAAACAGCTTTATATCCTCAAGAGCTGCTCTGCAGCTGCCAAATGAAAGAGGAAGTTCTCCGTCGCTGGAGGGAAATGACGCCGCTTTAAACCTTCCAGTGTGATTTTAGAGTCTTCACACTCATCAGCAAGAGCAACCAGGTTAGCGAGGATCTCTTTAGTCTTGACAGAAATGTCCTGCAGATGAAGGGCACATTAGATTTAAGACTAGGTTTCTTGCAGCTGACGCTTTCCTGTCTGGTGTTTTTAACTACGTTCTTACCTTGATCACCTGACTGTCTGACTTCTCTGCGTCCTCCGCAGACTGCACGATGAGTTGGCCGATGTCCTTGTGCAACTTCCCCATAGCCATGGCTTCTGTTGTGAGAGACTCAGCATCAGTCTGAGAGAATCAAAGCAACATATTGCTCTCTCTTTGAACACATGCTACCTTTAGCACTCTGGGATACTGTGATGGTGCTGTCTGGGAGGTTCACAAACACATCAAACAAATCCGTTCTGTTGCTCACTTCCGGATTTACAAACCCTGCTATGTATCCTGTGGAGGAAGCAAACATATTGGAGCATTAATAATTCACCCATTCACCCCAGTCATGGCAGTGCAGATAGCTGCTAAGCTGCGTGATGAGTTTTCTGTTAATTACACAGATAAACCAGGAGGCAGCCTCACCGGGGCATTTCTTTAAATCCTCCAGTTCAGCATCACTCAGGTGGACGTACGGGTGGAGGATGGACCAGTCTTTCCTGTGCCACACGAGAGCCGGCAGAACTCTGAGAGACAAACAGAGAAAAGAGTTACCCACACAACACAATTATGTCCACTATGATATGATTATGAAAGTCTTAAATTCACCTCGTGAACTCCAGCAACGCCTCAATCCGAGGGTGATGGACAACAATCCGCTTCTTCAGCATCAAGGCTGTATACAGGATGATGGTCTCCATCCCGAACTGAGACACCACATCTGAGACAAGAGCAAAAACATGGTCGAAGATTTGAGATCGTGTGACTTTTTCCACTAACAGCTAACATTTTAAAATGTTCAATGAATTAATTAAAAAAAGCTGTACATCAACTAAAAATGGATATAATAATTACTTAGATGCCAAACTGCATTTGCATAACGTTTTCCTGACGTCCCCAGCTATTCATTTATTGTTATCCCATATTTTTTACACTACTTAATGCAGAAATTGTTGCTTGAGATGATATCTCAAGCAGCTATCGTGTATTTTCTCCATGATTATGACTCTGGCTCCATTGTTTCCGGCACGCTGAGCACCATCTGCTGCACGAGTAGCAGAGTAGCATCACAGCTGAGCAAACAGTTATAACTTCAAAGTTAATAAATGACAACCCCATCATTTTCCATTTAAAGTATATCTCACTATATATGTGTATGCCCGTGTAAAAAAACTTTTTCACGAGACTGTGTGGAGACGTGATTAAGTACACCTCATCATTCGGTAGCTCGTGCGACCACTTTAAACAGCAATAACATAAACTCATAATTTTCTCTCTGATTTCATCAGTCTCTAACAACACTAGAGGCATTGTGGCCCAGTCTTCTTTACAACATAGCTTCAGTTCATTGACGTTTTACAGTCAGTCATTTATGCACAGCTCTTTTAAGGAAAACTTCAGCTATCAGACAGATGGGCCTCTTTGGTATACAGGGGAATTCTGGTCGACTCAATGACTGTAACGTGCACTTCTGGAAGGATTGTGGTATTGTGTTAACACACGCCTCAATGCTCCAGACCAGCAAACTGACAAAACTTCTGCTTTTATAGAGTTTCTCACACTTAACAATGATAAGTTAATCGAGTACATTTGATTAGCTGCACCTGGGTACCCTCTTATTAAAGCGGTAAGTTTATTAGATTTTCTCAGGACTGCATAAGGTTGTAAGAAAACTTTCATTTTCATGTGAAATATCAGCTGACCCTGATATGTTTTACTTCCTAAAAACCTCCAGTAACAGCGGGGGTTTCTAATAAGAGCTAAAAAGCATGAATTCTTTGCTTTTAAAAAGTTCAAATAGTGTTTGGCCACAACAAAACAAATGAAACAAATAACAAAAATCTTAAATAGCAGATTTGTGTACACAGGAAAGTCCGGGAAAGGTGTTCAGTATTTTTATGTGTGTTCCTCTTTACAAACGTGAAGTCCTACCTTTGACTGAACCTGCCAAGTAGGCTTTCCGAACATCGTAGTCCTTAATGAGAAACGAGCCGTTTTCGTCGCTCTGACAGATTCCTTTGGTGAGGACGGTGATGTAGGCTTCCATCATTTTCACCGGACTTCCGTGTTTGACATACATCCTGAGAAATAAATGTAACTGTGTGAGTTCAGCCCAAAGCACAAAGACATAAGGTGATGCTTCGTATTCATAAAGACTGTCACCTGCAGAGTATTCTACTGAGTGCAGCATATTTCTCAGGGTTGAAGTCTTTTGCTGTAACAACTACTGAAAAATGAGTGACCTTGACGAAGAGAAAGAGAGACATTAAAGAAATGCTCATCTATGGAGGGATGGAGATATTATATGTGACAAAAAGGATAAAGCTAATGCCTGGATAAAGACATCTTACCTTGTTTAGTGCTGTCGGCTCCTGTACTTCCATTGTAGTAATGTAATACCAGGTACGGGAGAACTGACCAAACACAAAAGTGTGAAAGTCACGGCCATCGTGTGTCAGGCAGCACTTGCTGAGCAGGACTTCCCTTAGTTCGTCGCCCACAGATGGATAGCACCACACCCACAAAGTGTCTCCATTCACATCTTTCTCTGAAGGAGGGGAAATAAAAGCAACATGTAGCAACATTTAGCATGTCAGGAGAAAGAAATGCATTCAGACTGGACTTTCAGGGTCTTCTAAGAGCATCACTACCAATAACAAGGTTACTGGAGGCGCTCAGGAACCCATCCAGAGCCATTCAGGTTGAACATGCAGGAGCAATAAACCAGTGAGGGGACATTCTCGGATCACAATAGTATCATGTGATTGTCCTGCATGTTCAGCGGATCTCAGACGCCGACTTAGCTTTAAAAAAAAAAGACAAAAGAACGACTTCCTAACCGAAACTTACCGATTAATCCCACGCTTAACATAAGCTGCGTTTCAGTCGTTGCCATATTCCATACCTGAAACAGTTCATAAGCACAAGTTAACTGGAGAGCAGCCACCGGGCGTCTTCTTCTGCGGACATAGTTGTAACAGGAAAGTTACCTTGAGAGTTCATGCGAGATCAGAATGCCAGAGAGCGATGCTGGATGGGTTTAATGGGACAGAAAGTGGGCTAAAACTTGCCAGCAGTCTGATTCAGAAGATTTCTGCTGCTGTCAACAAACATTTCGCCTCTCTCTCTCTCTCTGCGAAGCTGCTTCCCTCTTCCGGGACAGGAGGGCTGTGCAGGGAGGAGCTACGCAGCTCACAACCAATCACAGCAGCCGTAACGGTGCGTTCATGGTAACTCACAAAATGCAAGTAATATTCACGGACGGCAGGAAAATATAAATTTGAAATTTTATGAATTCATAGCATTTCACATTATGATGTGATAGAAAAGTCTGCGTTTTCACGTAATCTGTAGCACAGATATATGTTTTTGAAAGTAAAACAGTCAAAATAAAACCAAGATTGCTTTTAAGATTGCATTCTGTACTGTAAGTGGCAATATTGGACTGGCAGTGGAGCACATTCTCTAACATAATGATTATATTTATACAGCTAATAATTGTATTCTATTTAGCTTTAAATTATCATTTTTATGTTACTTATAGAGCTACTTTTAATTTTGTCATATTCCGTTTTACTGAGTTATTTGACTTTGTTTAGCTATTGTTTCATGGTTTTATTGGTTGTGTTTACTCTTTGCTACCTATGCACGGGAATTTACGAACTTGGTAGATAAACTAGGCTCTATCTTATCTTATTTCACACGCATTGATTGAATTGATCTTTTTTGAGTTAATGTTTTTCTGAATAGTACTTGAAGGTACCATTGGGGGGAGCACATACGGGAACCTTGTACCATCGGAGTTGCCAGGTTTGATTAAAGCCCTCACTTGGGAAGTTTAGATTATGCATTGCTATTCTACGTTCTAAAATGGACCAGTGACTTCAGACGGCCACTGGTGCTAACGCTATAGAAACTTTCATAAAAGCACAAGAGTTACAAGTTATTTCCTGTTTTAAATTGTATCATTTTAATGATCATATTTCCGTTACTGAAAACATGCCACAGCCAACGGAATCATTTGTCATTTAAAGTCTTATGTGTTTGCATATCCAAAAAGCTCTACAAGATGTGAAAAGGGTGTGTTTACAAATGATAAAAGTGAAATAAAAATAATAACAAAACTACGCGGATACGCTGAACTGTACGTTGTATTAAGTTAATTGTCTTTATTTCCTTTCACCGCCTCATAGATGCGGCGCACACAGTGTGGGATTGGGGGGGAGGGATAACACGTGACGCAACTGGCAACCCTACCAAGGCTACTCACGAGGTTGTTCCTTTCTCAGCCAGCACCGTTCCACAGGGTGAGTGCGTGGCTTTGATGGACTGGTAAAATTTCTTAAAATTAATCCAAGTCAACCAATTTTGAGCTTTGCTAAAAGGTCATCGACATGCCGGCGTATTTTCAGCGGCCAGAGAATGCTCTGAAACGAGCGAACGGTGAGTATACAAACGGCTTCGTGTTTTAACAGATGGGCCACATCCATGCTAACTACTGGGCGAAGGGTTAGCTGGCATTAGCCGTTGGTGACTCGTTGTTGTTAGCCGGCCGGGCTAACTGCTAACGCTAGCCGGATGGCGGGGAAGCCATATCGAAATTGTGAAGCTACGTTGGTATGTAGCCAACAGTCTACGCAGATTTTTAATTACAAAAGAAAGACTTTTTAGAAAAGTAAGTGACTGCCAGAGAGCTGTTAACCTTCCACGTAGCTTTACGGTGTTGTTAACGCTGCCTGGGAATCGGTGCTGTAAGTAGATCCTACTATCACCGACGCACCAACAGCGGCCTAATCAGCCGGCTCTAGCTTGTCACGGTGTGTGAAGCGTTTGCTTTTTTTTTTAATGATGCGGGACTTGACGCGTTTATTGTTGACTTATATTATTTTAACATGTTTGCGCAGAATTTCTTGAGGTTGGCAAGAAGCAGCCGGCCTTGGATGTCTTGTACGATGTCATCAAAAGCAAGAAACACCGAACATGGCAGAAGATCCACGAGCCCATTATGCTCAAATATCTGGAGCTCTGCGTCGATCTTCGCAAGAGTCACCTGGCCAAGGAGGGTCTCTACCAGTACAAGAACATCTGCCAGCAGGTCTGCAAGAAAAAATCTGTGATTTTTGCACACACAAAATAATTTATGCAAACTAGCAGTTTAGTCTAAATGTAAGCGCTTTCTGTTTCCAGGTGAACATCAAGTCTTTGGAGGATGTGGTCAGGGCCTACCTGAAGCTGGCAGAGGAGAAGACTGAGACAGCCAAGGAGGAGTCCCAGCAAATGGTCCTGGACATCGAAGATCTGGATAACATCCAGACCCCAGAAAGGTGATGCTGCTTAAGTTTTTATATAGTAAATCAGCTGTTTAACAAATGACTTAAATCAAACACCAGCCCTAAGAAATGAATTAACTTTAAATTTTGATTTTTTTTTTTTCTTCAATTAAATAAATAAACTGGACTAATGTGAAACTTGCTTTGATTTTAGCGTGCTCCTGAGTGCTGTGAGTGGAGAGGACACTCAAGATCGTACTGATCGCCTGCTCCTCACTCCGTGGGTGAAGTTCTTGTGGGAGTCCTACCGCCAGTGCCTTGACCTGCTGAGAAACAACTCCAAGGTGGAGCGTCTATACCATGACATTGCACAGCAAGGTAGGGACATGCATCAAATTACTTTTTAAATACTGTCTGTTTTCATGATGTCATGTTCTAGTCCTAAGTCAATATTCCAGGCTGCTTACTACCATCTTAATATAAAGTTTTTGTATTTTTAATCGTTTTCTGTATATGGATGTTAATTAACACCAATGCATGTATAGTATGTTTTATAAAACAAAAATCTTTCCCAATGAAGTCATTTAATTATTATTCAGAAATGTATTTCAAGTCTGTTTGCTGTGAGTCTAGGATTAGCTAATCCTCAAGGTATTACAGCAGTTACGCAAAGCAATGCGATGTAATAAGATATAATGTAACAGATTAAATTAATTGTCAAAGTGAACAGTTATTGTTGTTGTTGTTAGTATTAATATTAAATAACTGAATAGTTTTGCAACTGCAAACATTTTTACAGTTAAAACCTTTAAGTACGAGGCTCTAAAATCCTACCTTCCCTGCAGCATTCAAGTTTTGCCTTCAGTACACCCGCAAGGCAGAATTTCGTAAGCTCTGTGACAACCTGCGCATGCATCTGGGTCAGATCCAGCGCCATCACAACCAGAGCACTGCCATCAATCTGAACAACCCTGAAAGTCAGTCCATGCACCTGGAGACACGTCTGGTGCAGCTGGACAGCGCCATAAGCATGGAGCTGTGGCAGGTTAGTCTACCTAACACTCTTCAACAACTACACAAGCATTTTCAGATCGGTTGCCTCCACTGTTGTGGGATGCTGTAATGTGCAGCTGGCAATGTATAATATTATAGTAGCTTTGAAACATGATGAATGTAAAATTAATGGTACTAATGCAATTATTCTTTTTCCTCTCAGGAAGCATTCAAGGCTGTTGAGGACATCCATGGCCTGTTTGCTCTTTCCAAGAAGCCTCCCAAACCACAGCTGATGGCCAACTACTACAACAAGGTGTCTACTGTATTCTGGAAATCTGGAAACGCTCTCTTCCATGCCTGCACACTTCACCGGCTCTATCATCTGTCCAGGGAGATGCGAAAGAATCTGACCCAAGAGGAGATGCAGCGGTATTCCATTAATTCCTTGTGGATAAATGCACCAGTGTTTGTTTGTTTTTGTTTTTAAAATTTGATCATGACCAAATATGTATTGAAATTTACTTTCAATTTTCAGGATGTCTACCCGAGTCCTCCTGGCTACGCTATCTATTCCCATCACCCCTGAGCGTACCGATATTGCTCGCTTGCTTGACATGGATGGCATCATTGTTGAGAAACACCGAAGGCTAGCTACCCTCCTGGCCCTGCAGTCTCCACCAACCCGCCAAAGTCTCATTAATGATATGGTACACTATGTGCTCAAGAAGAGAGAGAAATCTTCACACCCTTTTAAGAATATAGTTTTTTGTTTTTATCTGTTCTTTAATTTGTTTTAAATTTTTGTCAAATGTATGATTTTTGTGTTTTAGGTTAGATTTAACTTGCTGCAGTATGTTGTAACTGATGTGAAAGAACTTTACAACTGGCTTGAGGTCGACTTTCATCCTCTGAAGCTGAGCGGGAGAGTGACCAAGGTAAACTGTCCAGCTTCATGTGGCAGCAGCAAACGTAATAATTACAAGGAGCTGTCGTTCAGTTCATTTTCTTACATACAGCTTGAAGTTTATTCATTTAATTAACATTTCTTGTTGCTTGTAATTTCCTACTCTTCTAGGTGTTAAACTGGGTGAGAGATCAGGCTGAGAAGGAACCTGATCTTCAGCAGTATGTCCCACATCTGCAGAGTAACACCATCCTGAGGCTCTTGCAACAGGTAATCCTCTCTCTCTTCTGGTTAATCTTTTTTTCTAAATCGCTTCTACCCTGAAATGGGTGTAATTGTCTTCATTTTTTAAATTTTAGGTTGCACAGATCTATCAAAGCATCGAGTTCAGTCGTCTGGCCTCTCTGGTTCCATTTGTGGACGCCTTCCAGCTGGAGCGCTCCATTGTAGATGCTGCACGGCATTGTGATCTGCAGGTAAGATTCACATTGGTAGAGACGCTGACATCACTGATGGTCCAGAAACAGGGATGTGAGCTATTACTGAAGTAACATGCTGTGTTTTTGTAGATTATCTAACATTTCTTTTTGTCTTGTAGGTCAGAATAGACCACACCTCTAAAACTCTGAGCTTCGGCTCTGATCTGAACTACTCGACCAAAGAGGATGCTCCTGTTGGACCTTTCCTGCAGAACATGCCGTCAGAGCAGATAAGGAACCAGCTCACTGCCATGTCTGCATCTTTGGCTAAAGCCATACAGGTCATCAAGCCTGCCTCCATCCTGGTGAGTTCAACCTCTAACCGATACACAGTGACCAGAGGCACCTAATGTACAGCGCTCCCCCCCCCCTTTATTAATGTACATACAGTGACGGTATTTTTCATGTTATATTTAAAACATTACTCATGTTATGCCTTTGTTTGAATTCAAGTGCATCTTATTTATTTGTTTTAATTATTCTTTCTTAGCAAGAGCGAGAGGAGCATAACCAACAGGCCATCGCTGCCTACCTGA